ATCTCATGTACCTTGGGAGGAAGGGAAGAGAGAGTCTCATTAGCATGTCTTTAAGAGTAAGAGCATGTTAGATCATTTTCTGCAGGATTGTTTTGTACTTAAACACTGCGTTATTGCTTCTTAATGTTACTGCAGATCTTCTTTTTATCTAATATGTTCTCAGTTTCCACTGCATATAGTCCTGCTCTTCTGTCACCTTTGCTTCTTTCCCTCAGCCATGAAGTGGTAAGAGCAAGAGCAGACTAGTTCTTGGAAAAGCAATGGCTTTTTTTCTTTCTTATTTATTTAAGTCCAGAGGGGTCCTCAGCTTGTGTCAGGCAAAAAAATAATAAATTATGTCATTTTCCCAATTGGTCAGGAAGGATTCTTTTAACTTTGAAGGAGCTTTGTAAGGTTGGCCTCTGTATCTGGCCACTCAAAATGCAGTTTAGTTTAGACAGGCATCACTTCAGTCCGTTCTGTCCTCATTTAGAAAAAATAAAATTTACTGTTACTTCCTATGTTGCTTTTATTATGAGGACTGTATACTGAGACAAAGCTCTGTGGCAGCATTGAGAATGAAGTGGCTTTTGGATTACTATCAAGCACAGATGGGTGATGCTAGGGAAATCTGTTGTAAGCCTGAGGTGAGGTTTCTGATACAAGGTGTGATATCTCATCATAGAAGAATGGTAATAAAAGATGAAGATGCCGTAATGAAAAACAAGTGATGACCCAGAAACAAAAGTGTAATTCTTATTGGAGCCCCTTGAGGTTTCTGATCTCTCTTTCATGCAGGCTTCAAAGCTCTGGAAGTCCATGTGAGACCTGTTGAGTAATTCCCATAATTACTTCCATATTTTATTTCCAACAACTGGCCAAGGTCAGGTCCTCTTCTCCCACAATTAGTGATGCAGAAAAGCTATTTTAAAAATAGCTTTTCTGTTCATCTCAGGGAGTGGCTAAGAGCGGTCATGGATCCTATCTGTTAAAATCCAGTTACTTGTGGAGGGAGGTCTCTGCACTGCTCCTTCCCTCCATCACAAGGAGATTCTGGCAAGGATGAAAGAACCTTTGCCAGAGGGTAATTTTCCTATCCCATATTAAGAAGATCTTTTGTTCAGCGAAGAGATGATGATCACTGTGATTTGTTTGAGGTTTTTTTGTGGACATTTTATTCTCAGAAATATTATTTGTAACTCAGTATATTTGACCGGTGACCCTTCTCTTTGCATTTAGAAGTAGTAAAGAAAGTTGGTTCTAGCCTCTGTCTCAGCCAGGGCCCCAGTGACTGATCTTTTGCAAAGCTGGGAAGGGTCCAGCTAGTAGAACTTACAGCTTCTTCTGTTACTGGCCAAGTCACAACAAGGTGTAGGAATAAGAAAGAGGCAGTGACTTTGACTTGTTGCCTGAAGCAATTTATACCTCTCAGGCTTAATTAATCTAGCCTTGCATCTCTTAGTGCCTCTGCATCATGGAATGGCTCTGCTATGGATAGCCAACCTCGTCCCCCCAATCACAGCACAGAGCAGGATCGCTGTGAATCCTTCAATGCCCTGGTCATTGCTTTCATGAGGTCTGGAAGAGAAGGAGCGCACAGAATTTACTTTACTGATGGCAGGAATACTACTGTTCTAACTACCATAATAAACCAGTGAGACCAGATTTGAAGTTTTCTCCCAGGCCCTTCTTGGGAAAATAAAAAGGTCCAAGTAAAGAGATCAAGACCCCAGCATATTTAAGAAAAGAATTATAATATCATTATTTAGACTTCGTTAAAATTCCAGTCCTGCAGTTTATGCAACAAATAACTTGTTCAGTGCTATCTAAATTGAACGCTTGAAGAAACAGAAATGTTACTTATATACAACAGGTAGATGTAGCAGCCACTCAGGAGGCCAGAGGGCCTAAGCAGTTTGCTTAGTCTTTAGTCTTTTTGTTTGTTTTTAACTGAGAACTTTTTCTACTTCTGCATTCATACTCCTTTCAAGTTTTGCATACAGAAAATCTCAGAGCAGCATATGATGGTTTTTCTGCTTAACAGTTTTGGTAAAAATCCTGGCCTGACACGTAATTCCCGATTTCCTTTCCTAGCAGCACCCTGGTGTTGAAACCAATTTAAAAGGTGAGCCCCTTGTGTCCTGGATCGTGAAGTTGTGCCTGTAGACCTCGGGACTTGCAGTGGTTGCTGTGATTCATCGGAGAAGCTTAAAGTAGCCCTTGAAGAAGATGCTATGTTTTACTGGGTAGTCATGTTCCTAAATAGTGAATTGCCAGGAAGACAAGAATCATAGAATCATAGAAGACTGGGTTGGAGGGGACCTCTAAAAGTCATCCAGTCCAACCCCCCTACCGTGGGCAGGGACATCTTCAACTAAATCAGGTTGCTCAGAGCCCCCTCCAACCTGACCTTGAACGTTTCCAGGGATGGGGCATCCACCACCTCTCTGGGCAACCTGTGCCAGTGCTTCACCACCCTCAGCGTAAAAAACATCTTCCTTCTATCTAGTCTAAATCTACCCCCCTTTAGTTTAAAGCCATTCCCCCTTGTCCTGTCGCAACAGGCCCTGCTAAAAAGCCTGCTGCCATCTTTTTTATAAGCCCCCTTTAAGTACTGATAGGCTGCAATAAGGTCTCCCCGAAGCC